ACCCGCCCCCCCCCCGCCCCCCCCCCTCCAGCACCCAGTCCTCACAGTAGAAGCCAACTCCAGACAGCTGAACGATTTTCACCTAGATGACGCCCCACCCTGGCTCTTGGCTTCTCTCCTCCTTCCCTTCCGGCCTGCTTCCCGCCCTCTTCTTCCTCCAGCCTCGCCAGCTTCCTGGTGGCCAAAGAGAAAAACCACCTCGCCCAGTTCTCTTTGACTGGCCCCTCCCCATCCTGTTCTCCACAGTGGAGCTTTCCTGGCTCCTCCACTCCCTCTCTCAAGGCCTCCCTTTCCTTTCTCCCACCCCACTGTGAGGGAGCAGGGGCTCCCCAGCGCTGAGCTGTGCCAGCCACATCTGTCATCAGTCCCGGGCTGCAGTCCCCCAGCTCAGCCCCCCTTCCCAGCTCAACCCCCACTGAATGAAGAAACATTTTGCTGGGAGGAGAACCCAGAGACTTAGAAGATTCCAGAACTTTAAAACCTGTTGGCAGGACCCCTGACTCTTAAATGCCAAGATAATGTCACCTGTTCCTCTCCTCAGGGGTTACCCTCAAAACCTGTAGTTCCTAACTCTTGAGTTTGGGGTCCTAGTGGCCTGCTGGAGGGAGAGGAAGGAAGTCAGGAACCTGGAAACCGAGTCCTCCTGACACTGGCTCCTTATACAGTACACAGTGGACAGAGATACAGACCTGAATGCCACATGGCTCAGCAAACTCTGCCTGGGTAGCAATGTCCAGAGAATTCAAAGCCAGTGGTTATGCCCTTGCATCGGGAGGTCCCAGTGGCCCTACTCACAACACTGTGGTCTGCCCCAGGATCGGGAATATTAGTCAGCCATGGAAAGGGAATGAAGTGACAGCAGCCAACTCTCATGCTCCAACCCATGTATTGTGTGCATGAGAAATACGCAGGGCAGGGACATCACAGACAGGAGTAGATCTGGCAGGGGCTGCAGGGGTGGTTTTGGGGGGAAGTAATGTTCTGGAAATGCACGAGGCGAGGCTGCCTAGGTGGGCCATCTAAATGCCACTGCGCCATTACCTTGGAAAAGGCTGACTTTCTGTCATGGCATTTCTACACCATTGAAAACACCTTCTGTGGCATCTGATTAGAACGCCAGTGACTGAGCCGGCAGCTGCCTGTCAAAAATTCACTCCACTGCAGAGCTGAGGGTTTGGAGTCACCAAGGTGCAAGTGGCCACGACATAACAAACAGGTAATGACACCCACTAGGTGCCTGCCATGTGCTGAGACTCACCCTTGTGAGATAAGAACCTGTCTGGGGCGGGGGGAGGGCAGGTCTGAGAAAAAGGCCTCTTGTGTTTTTAAACGTGCCCTGCCTTCCTGTACCTCAAGGAAAACAAATTCAAGCCACCTGGAGGTGCCATATTTTCAGTGCTTATCAGATGGGCAGGGAGACAAGGGCAGATAAACCATAAACTGGGGTGGTGGCTGTGACACCAGGCACGGGATGCTGACTGTAACTTGCCACGTAGCTCCTGCAGAGGTTGGAACAGGGACTAGCCACCAATCTGTATGCATGCCTGAGAAGGGAGGAGGGCCAAGCCGGGTGGCCCCTGCTGCAATCCCACTTTCCAGAGGCGGGGGAGGGGGCGCGACAACCGGGATTCTGAGGTATGAGCAATAATTTACAAGAAAGACCGCGGAAACCCAGACTCCTCTCAGCAGAACATGATGGGAAGGTCAGAGAACCAGAGGTTTTAAAATCAAAGCCTTCCTTTTTCTTGTTTATAACAGTACGCAGGTCCACCCCTGAGCCACGCCCCAGCCCCTCACTGGGGGATTTTAGGCAGGGACTCCACCCCTGAGCCACGCCCTCAGCCCCTCACTGGGGGATTTTAGGCAGGGGCTCCACCCCTGAGCCACGCCCCAGCCCCTCACTGGAGGATTTAGGCAGTCACTTCACCTCCGAGCCACGCCCCCAGCTTCTAGGTTCTGGATCTGAGGTCCAGGCTTGGACAGGGATCTTCAGAGCCACAGTTTTGATTCAGAGGTCTGCTTATGTCCTTTGAGGCTCAAGATGGACCTCATCTCCGCCCTAGGAAGCTGGAGTCACCCCTGACTTGGATTCTCTTGTGCTTATGTGTGTGCTGTATGCGCAGCCTCCCCACAGACCCTGGCTAGCAGGTTGCAGACAGGGAACCCAAGGCTGAAGTCAAAGTCCTTCTGGCTCTTGGGCTTCCAAGATCTGTTTTGTTTGTTAAAATTAATTCTGTTTTTATTCATGTATCTGTGTGCCTACATCCACGTGAGTGCAGTGCCCTGGGAGGCCAGAATAGAGCGCAGGGGTACTGGGAACATAGCCTGGTCCTTGTTTTTAGGCGCTGAGTCGTTTCTCGAGCCCGTTTCCAGCCCTGTGTCAGCCTGGATTAATTGGTGGATTCCTCACCAAGTCAGCATTGCCCTGGTGTCTGTCCTTCTCTAGCTGGCAAACTCCTATGTGTACCTCAGAACCCTCTAGAGCAGTGGTTCTCAGCTTGTGAGCCAAAACTTCCTTGGGGGGTTGAATGACCCTTTCACAGGGATCGCATATCAGATATTTACATTAAGATTCATGACAGTAGCAAAACTATAGTTATGAAGTAACAACAAAAATACTTTTATGGTTGGTGGTCCCCACAACATGAATTGTATTAAAGGGGTCGCAGCATCAGGAAGGTTGAGAATCGCTGCCCTAGGCGTTCACCTACTTCTCCCTCCCTTCAGCCGAACTGTGAGTCAGAGGGACAGAGGGCAGAGCAGGTTGCCCTGGAGATGGAGAGCATTATGGGTACCAGCACCCCTCCCTCTTTTCCCTCCCCTTCCTGGTCTGGATTTGGAAGACAGAACGGGAATGTGGATTGCTTTTTATTTTGTTAGAAAAGTGTTTATTTAAAGAATACTAAAAGGGCCGGGCCTGCTTGGGAGGGAAGAGGGAGGAGGGGGGGTGGAGGGAGGAGGGAGTAGGGAGGAGGCTTGGCTCAGCCAGGCCTGGATGGAGGCTCCTTCCACGGAGTCCAGCCTGGGAGCTGGGGAAGCCTCGGGCGGGCAGGAGGGCTGGGAGCACCGCACCTCAGCAGCTGGCGAGATACATCCCTGCGGGGGCAGAGCAGGGGGCTCGCGTGGGCTCCTCCCGCGCCCGGCCCACAAGCCCAGCCGCCGCCCTGCAGTTACCTGTGGCGAATCTCCGCTTCACCAGGGACATGCGGTAGCCGCCGCCCAGTAGCTCCAGGTCCAGGCCGGACAGCGTGGCGCCCTCGCTGGTGAACTGTGCGGCCACGGGGCTGGGGGTGCTGGGCCCGGTCTGCGGCTGCCAGCTGGCGGACAGGCGGCCCGAGCCTGCGGGGTCTGGGGTCAGGGACGCGCTCCCGCTGCAGGCCCTTGGCACGGGTCTGCCTGTGCCCTGAGAACCCTACTCTGGGATTTCAGGTCCAACTCTCCAGAGTATCCTAGTTTTAACGAGTGCTGCCCACCTAGGGTTTCTCCCATGCAGCAGCCCTCATAACAGCCGTGACTCACTCACCCCCTGCCTCACACACATCTGGAAGCTTCCACGTGAACCTCTTTTCCTCCGTGTTCCTGGTGGCAAAGGAAGATGGGTCAGCTGCCGAGTCACCTGTGTGGCTCCTGCAAACCCACTGTGCAGCAGAACCTCAGTTTCCCCACCCGTGCAGGAGCTGCGGTGTGGAAAGCCCTGTATGTGCTCACAGCTGCACTGGGTGGCTCACCAGCTGGCTGCAGGCTGCAGACGCACGCTGGTCACCGGTTCTCCCACGGGCAGCAGGATTTGCACATTAGTGAGCGGTGTGGACACTGCGGTGGCGCCCGCCCGGTAACTGTACTCCACTGTGACCCGTGTGAGCGTGGGCCCGCACTGCCAGTGAGCGCTCATTTGCAGCGGCACCGACTCGGGCCCAGGGCGGGAGAACTTAGGAATGAGAAGACAGAGGTTGCTGGGCGTCATCGCCACACCACCCTACCCAGCCTGGCCCGTGAAACATGCAGCCACTAAAATCCACGCGCAATACTCCGAGCGGCCAGCAGAGCGCAGGAAAAGTGCACAGAGGCCAGGCACCAAGCTCTAATTTGCACAATCTATGCGGCCAGCCCTTGCCCCGCCCCCAGCACCCCACCTGGTAGCGCAGCAGCACCAGATTGTAGTAGGAGGCCGTGGGGTTCTGCTCCGCCTGGTGCTGCAGGGCTTCTGTCAGCGCCGACATGTTCAGCCAGAAGTCTTTGGTCTCCGGGTCACTCTGGGAGGGATCACTGCAGAGACGGGGACAGAACATCCTCATCCCTCAGGAGTCGCCCTCCCCCTTAGCCTGAGCTGCTGTGGATGGGAGAGGTAGGTCCAGAGAGGGAAAGCCACCTGCTTCACATCACACAGCAACAGGCGGGAGGAGCTGCAGGCGTTTAAGGCCCTGAGCCCTCGGCCGCGCTGCCCATGCAAGGTACCTGAAGATTAAGTCGGTGTTCGGCTGAAAGTGTTCTACTGGGGCCGTGTGCACGAGCCGGAAGCTGAGGACTGGTGGGGGCGGGGTCCCACTGAAGACTCGCACAATGCCGGCAGGGAAGGTCATGGTCAACTCCCCAGTGACTCGAGCCAGGCAGCTGGGAAGCCGGGGGGACACCAGGTGTGGGATCAGGACTCAGTATTTCCTACCCTCCTGTTTCCACTGGCACTCAAAGCTCCTGCGAGGCTCTAATTGTCCCCAGCACCCTCTCCCCAACTTCTTTCTCTTTCATCCCTGCTGACAGGGTGAACCCCGCCACCCCACACAGCTTGGGCTAAAAAAGGTATCTTCCCGAGGTCCTTTTTCTCCTCGGCTACCAGGAATCTCTACCCAGAATAACTGGTGTTTTGAGCACCCCTAGCTTGGGTTTAGGGTCTAACAATCCCCTCTTCTTTGTGGTTTTTAACGTTAAGGTCTCCTTTTGTCAACTGCAGAGATGGCAAGCCAGCTTCAGGGTCCCCAGTTCACCACAGACATCCCCCCCCCAATTCCCTTTTTCTCAATACCCATGGCCTCCTTAGAGGAGGCTCAGGGTTCCCTAGCCTCAGTCAAAAGCCTTCAGGTTGACATTGCTGTCCCTGTGACCTCCTACCTGGGGCTGTGACCTCGGAAATAGGCATGGACATACTCAGTGAAGGCTGTGGCCACAGGCAGGGTGTCCTGGGATCCTAGGACCACAGGGCTGGGACCACGGGAGATGCCTGTGGGGGAGTGTGGTCAGGAGCAGGGCAGGCCTTACCCACTTAGCTACCATCCCAAACAGAGAAGGGGATCCAAGGCCCCAAGGAAAGCTGTTCCCACAAACCATGTCCCATCTGGGTGGAGAAGCTGGGCCGATCTGAGGTGATGCTGGGGGCAGACAATCCCAGTGGGGAGGGGCTGAGGGACCGACCCTGCAAGGCACAGGAGAATCAGGGCTGTGAACTGCCCAAAGGTACCTTCCCAACAGAAACCACCTCACCAAGGTGCACCATGTCACCCACCAGGTCACCATTGCTCCTGGTGAGTGGGCAGGACACTTTCCTGGATCGAGGTCTCCTGGGTGGCGCAGCCAGGCCCTCCCTGGTGGTGGAGTCTAGAGTGAGGAGTTGGTGGATATTAGGCCCCAAGGAAAAAACAATGGGCTGAGGGTTTCTGGGTATGCAGGTTGAGGACTGTATGAAAGGGGTGTGACTTAGGAGGTGGGTAAGCCACACCCTGGCCTTGGTCACTCTGTCTTTACTCCCCCTTGGCTCTGCTGAAAAACCAGTTTCTCTCCCATGGGTGCCTGGTAGCTGCCTGTCAGTCTGACTAGGACCTCAGGTGGCAGTGCCTGACTGTTCTCTCTTTGTGCACTCTCCAGCTACTTAGGCTCCAGGCCAGGTGCTTTTCCCCCACAGCCTGAGTGGGCTGTGTGCCCATTTGATGACATCGCCATTCAGCAGTGGCCACAGGGTTCAGCCAGGCTTCCTTCAAACTCGGAGTCCGTAGCTGTCTTAGGCCCATGCATCCTTGTAGGCGCCCAGACTCCTGCAGCTCACTCCCAGACTCAGGGCCCAGAGGAGACTCCAGTGCCATGTCTGGCCAACTCAGCACCTACCCTCCTGCCCCAGGGCCTTTGCTTGACCATCAATTGGTCCCACCTAGGAAGGCCTCCACCTGGTGCCTCGCCTGCCAGGGACACCCTGGGCTCCAACTCACCTGCGCCTGCCTCTGGCCCCCAGGGGCCTGGCGAGGGTGCACGGGGCGTTGGGCCCCTGGCTTCAGGGTGTTGTGTCCTGCAGGCGGGTGGGCTCTGCGGAGTGCCTGGCCGGGGGACCCAGGACTCAGGGGACGGGCCGGGGGCAGCATGTGATGGAGAGTCCAGGCCCGAGTCCTCCACATTCTCCGGGGACGAAGAAGAGAAAGGGGATGGGCTGGATGTGAAACCCAGGCTGCTGGAGCCTAGGACGGAGAATGGCCAGGGGCGTGGTCGGCATGGTCCACGCCCACACCCAGTGTCACCTCCCACATTAGTAAACCCTCCGCCAGGCCACGCCCACGGCCATGCCCCCCCAACCAAGAACCCACCCACTAGGACCCTGTCCTGCTCTCCCTGCTGTGCACACCCCCTCTACCCGTGAAGTCCTCGTGATCAAAGGCGGACTCCAGTGGTGGCCCGAAGAGGTTCTTGGACAGCAGCTCCTCCGAGGCTAGCGGCTTCTCAGCACAGCTGGGGACAGCGACAGGAGTGGGTCGGAGCCTCACACCGAACCTGAGGCCTTCCCACAACCCACCCAGCACAGCCATCCCGCCCCCTGCGTCACCATGCTAAGACCATGCTTTCAAGAATTTTGACCATGTTGTTTTGTGAGGCAGAATCTCACTCTGCCCAGGCTCCTGAGCTCTGGGTAACACACCAGCTTCATGCACAATTAAAGCCCACTTAGAGCATTTCTGAGGGTCGCCTTGTCCACAGGCCTCTCAGACTCAGCACAGCACAAGTACACAACAGGCGTCTCATAAGTGTCCTTCAACAGCCCGGGTGAGGACGCTCCGGGCAGGGACATTGGGCCCATCTGCCTGCTCAGTCACATCCCACAAGACCTACCTGCCGGTCCGTGGGGCCGACCGAGGTCTCTGTGGCTTCCCAGAAGTGTCCCCTAGGACAGATAGGGTCTTGAGCTTCTGTCCCACCAGGACCACAGCTGGCATTTGACCACAGCCAGAGGCCCAAGGTGACAAGCAGAGAAGGTAGAGGGGACAGCCAACCAATCCCAATTTCCAGCCACCCAGACCCAGCTTCTCCTCCAAGGGCACCTTCTACCCAAACGGACCAGGCTACTCACTCGATGAGTGACGTTTCATGGTGCCCTTCGGAAAAAGCAAAAAACCAAGCAATGTGAGGCTCAGCTGCAGACGGCTGGCCCCTGTGCCCCTCCCAGCTCACCCCTGGTTCCAGTCACCCAGCTCACCCCTGGGCCTGGGGGGAGGATGAGGCTGCCAGCTGTGGCTCTGAGCTGGGCAGCTGCAGCCTCTGAGCTGCATGTCACAGTGCGGGTGGGGGCAGGCTTGATGTGAACGTAGAACTTTCTAGGCTCTTCATCATCAAAATCAGAGTCACTAGAGGAGAATCGAGGGGGCTCGGCCATGCGTGGGCCTCTGTCAAGGAGTCAAGTCTTGAATCTGACCACACTCCCGGACATGGAGGCCCTGTACGGTGAGTTTTGACCTCTTATGTTCAGGAAGCTACCTGGGGAGCTTCTGTTCAGCCACACTGATGCCCTTCCTCCAGGAAGCCTTCCTGGATAGCCCACCATAAAAGTCCACCTGTCTTGTCCACCTTTATTTTGAGACGGGATCTCTCTGCATAGCCCTGATCAGCCAGGAACTCAAAGGCTGGTTTACATTCTAAGATGGCCTGCCTCTGGATTAAAGAGGTGTGTCACCATCGCCTGGCTCTCAACCCTCCCTCTGTCTACCATCGAAAGTGCACAGGACAAGGCTTGCACCTGGAGCTCCTTGGTGCACAGTAGGACTCTCCGGGGGGACATGGAATCACAGAAAGGAAGGATATTATTATGGGACACGTCAGGACGCACAGTGAAGCCTTCTTCATCCACCTCTGGAGGCACCTGGGGGGAGTCAGGTTCCCTCCAATGACCCCTCGGCTTGTCCACCCAGGCTCCCACCAGAATATATTCCAGGGTTGTAGGCAAATGCAAGGGGGACTGAGATGCAGTAGAGCTTCCAGTCCCTCACACGGGGACCACACAGGTGAGACCTGATTCGGAGCCCCACCCTGGGCCCCTCTGGCCCCCTCTTCCCGGGGGCCTTGAAGATCAAGTCCCGCCTACCCATTGCCCTGCCGGCACAGGACTCACCCCTGAATCAGACTCCAGAAAGTCCCTGGGGACAGAGGAACAGGGGTTAGTGGCTGGAGTCCCCAGAAAGGATGCCCACCATATTGCCCCAAGCTAGCCCATAGGCTGGGAATGTGGGTGGCTTCTAGAGTCAGACAAAGCCTCAAACAGTACAACAGATAGCTAGCCTTGGCAAAGGGAGGGATCATGGCCAACCTAGGTTATGATGGGCCAAGCAGCTTCTGGGCCAGCCTGGGTAAAAGGAGGAATTCCAGTCTAGTTTGGGAGAGTGGCTCTTTTGGGCTAGCATGGGACAGAGATCTTTCTGGGCTAGCCCAGGAGAAGTGGTCCTGGGACAGTCTGAGATAGGGAAAGTGCCATAGGGGGTTTCTGTGCTCGCTGGAACAAGGGGCAGGATTTTGGGCTAGCCTAAGCTAGGGTGGGGCACTTCCTCACACAGCTGCACGGGGCTCCCGCCGGCTCAGTCCTGGAAGACGGAAGGCCTTGGCTCCTCGGAGACGCTTCATTGCTGTTGACAGAAGGAGGGCAACTAAGCTCTAGAAGGTTCTCCCCTTTTCTGTTCAGATCCCTCTCCAAAACCCTGGTCTAGCCTGGGCATCCAGGCCCAGACGTACTTGCCTTCCTGCAGGGCAGCTGTGCTGTAGGCATCAAAGTCCAGAGGCCCTGGGGCAAAAAAGAAATAAGTCTGAGGGGCAGAAGCGGGCTGCACAGTTGCACACCGGGGCTCCACAACAGGAGCCGGAGGGTGTGAGAGGAAGGCCTAGGTATGTCAGGCCTGGCTGACTGAACATAGAAACAGCAAGAAGGACAGCTTTCCTGGTCACCTGGGTCTTTGAACAAAGTGTGCCTGCATTTAGGGGATTGTGGTCTCCACTTTATCAATGAGAAAGCAAGCTCAGAGAAGTCAAGACATAGCCAGGCGGGGGTGCGCACGCCTTTAATCCCAGCACTCGGGAGGCAGAGGCAGGTGGATCACTGTGAGTTTGAGACTAGCCTGGTCTACAAGAGCTAGTTCCAGGACAGGCTCCAAAGCCACAGAGAAACCCTGTCCCAAAAAAACAAAAAAAAAGTCAAGACATGCAACTGAGGTCACACAGCAAGCAACGGAAAAAGGACCCAAATTCAGTCTGACTATCAAACTTTGGCTCTCAACAAGGGCGTCTTAAGCTCAACACCATCAATGGCTCCCTCAGCTCTTGAGACTTAGTGAGAAACAGCGGAGTTTCCAAGCTGAACTTTCATGATCCTTTAGGGATTGGTGTCTAGGACTGGACTATGTGAGATCAGCCATCAGATGCCTTCCCTACATGGGGTGGGGGACAGAGAACTGCCACCACTCTATTTTTCCAAAGAAGAAACCAAGGGCCAGGGAGGCCCTCACCAGGGTCACTCACCAGGCTTTTCGCAGCCGGTGCCCTTGCTCTCTGCAAACTTCCTGAGGAGCATGTCCACAGTCACATTTTCCACATTCTGCTTAAATTCCTCATGCACCTGGGTGGGGGGTGGAGAGGGCATGAGGGGCACGGCCTCTGTGGGGCTGGACAGGAGGGCGGGGCCCATCCTCACCTGCCCGATCTGCACATGGGTGTCCTCCACTGAGTGAGCATAGGAACCCAGCAAGGCCTTCATGTGCTGCAGGTGCGACTCCTCCATGGCCTGAAATCGCTGCGATGGGAGGGACATGTGACCCGGGCTGACCAATCAGATCAGTCCAGACCCCCCACTGGCTTAGGGAAGCACCAATGGGATTCTGCCTTTGGATTTTGGCTGCTACTCAAAAAGACGCTGCTGCCCCCAGCCTTTCCGCTCCACGTGGGATGATGGCCTTTGACCCCAGTACTGCAGAGGCAGGAGGATCTCTATGAGTTTGAAACCAGCTTAGTCTACATAGTGAGACCTATATCAAAAGGAAAAATGGGCCTGCTAGATTAGAGGCACACACACAAACACCCCAGCATGCCCTCTGTCAGCAAAGGAGCGAGGTCCCTAGAAACCAACGACCAGCCACAGAGAGACAACATCCTCATGACACCATTGGAACGCCTGGATCCAGCCATGCCTGACTCCCCTGAACCCACCAAAGAAGCTACCTGGCAGGACACTAGGTAGAAAGACCTGTGAAGGACCACCAACTCCCCAGACCTGGGTCTGGTAACGCCAGTCTCAGCCTGTGCGCTCAGGCATGAGGCTCAGCTCTCAAGCAAAGCCAAACAGCACCTTCTGCCCAGAACCAGCCTGCTGGACCTACCTCCTACCATAGCGGCGAGGAGACAGCAGCTAGTAGCCTGGCTGTTTAAGGCTTGGTTCATGCAGCCACACAAAAAGCTAGGCCCAGACTGAAAAATACCTTTGAACAGGTACAGAATGCTTGGAAATGTGCTTAGATACTGAAGAAAGAAAAGAAAATGGGTAGAGAAAGTCATAGAAAAAATAAATAGTTTAAAAATAATGAAGTCAGCTGGGCGTTGGCAGTGCTCAGGAGGCAGAGGCAGGCAGATAGCTCTGAGTTCGAGGAGGCATCAAGGCATCAAAGCTACAAAGAAAAATCCTGTCTTTAAAAAGCTAAAAATAGGGCTGGAGAGATGGCTCAGAGGTTAAGAGCACCAGCTCAGAAACATCTGTAACGGAATCTGGTGCCCTCTTCTGGTGTACAGATATACATGGAAGCAGAATGTTATATACATAATAAATAAATAAAATTTAAAGACGGGAAATACACAGGGTATCTGGATCATGTCTGATGTTTTGCTGACTGAATTTTTTAATGCTGATGAGGGAAGGGCAAACACTGCTGAGAGACATGGGACTGTAGAAAAAACTGCTAAATTAAACCAGCCTATGTATTCTAAGGATGTTTTAGCTTCAATTCCAACTACAAATCCATAAGTAGATCTGTTTAAATGAATATTTCTACTTCCTCTCAGAATGACAAGGCTGACCTTAAATTTGATATGTAGCCCAGAATGATCTTGAATTCCTGATCCTCCTGCCTCGGGTCCCTGGAGCTGGGAGACTGTGGCTGAGGACAGGGCACCCTCACGGGGAGTGTGGGGACCAGCCACCAGAGGGCAAGGTTCTTACCAGGGCCGAGTCTAGCATCTTGGTCTCAAAGTCGGCCCTGGCGGAGTTGTACTTATCCACAGAGCGCCGCAGGCTATCAGCTGCCTTCTTGCTTTTGGTTTCTGCCTGGGAATCGTAGACAGGGGACCATGTGAGTCGCCACGGGGACAATCAGGTGGCTTTTCCATCCTGCCAAGCCACCTTCTGAAAGCCAGGGGAGGTGGTCGATTGATTTTGTGTGCGCTGTGTGGCACGCTGTCTCTCTCGGGTCAGGAGGCCAACAAACCTTGTCCATCTCCTTCTGGCTGGTGTTCTCTCTGCGCAGCCGCTCCAGGTCCATGCAGCGGCTCAGGTAATTCTCTCGAGATTTTGGCAGAAGCTGACCCACGCTGGCCAACACCTGCACCGCATCCACAGTGCCCAGAACTTCCTCCTTGCACTGTGGGTAGGGAAAAGCAGGAAAGAGGCATGGTTCAGGGGTGACAGCCTGGAGTCCCCAGTGAGAGGCTGGGGGCGTGGCTCAAAGTGGAGCCCCCGCCTAGAATCTCCCAGTGAGGGGCTGGGGCGTGGGCTTGAGATATGCTCTCCTAGTTTTATCTATATACACTCCAATCTGCAAGTGGGTGCGCAGGCTCATCTGGGGGCCTGGGGGCCCCAGCACCCCTGCACACCCGCCCGGGAGGTCGGCTACCTTCTTGTGGGCCTTGAGCTGTTCCTCGCCATAGCGCAGCACCTCCTTGAGGAGGTCGTGCAGCTTCCGAGTCAGCTCCAGGTGGCACAGTGCCAGCTTGTCCGAGGACACACGGAAGACCTCCCAGAGCGGGGCGAAGGTCCTGGGGACAGGCAGAGTCCAGTGCATCTGACACCCCGGAGCATAGCTGTCCTTGCTGATACGGAACTTAGCAGAAGTTGTGTCCACCAGGTCCCGGGTTACCCGAGGTCACTAGGGTCCCCCCATCCAACTGCACTCACCCCATGGGGGTCCCATTGCTGGCCATCTTGGACAGCTTGGCCATGGCCTTCGAGTATGTCTCTTCGATGCTGGCCCTAGATCGGAGAAGGGGCAATGACAGGAAGACTCAGGTACCCTGAAACAGGCGTTTCTCTGCCTCAGTTTCCCCATCTCTACACCTTGCTCTCAAAATAGTTTGGAAACGAATTGGAAACTTTTATTTTTCCTTTTATCTATCTATCTATTTATTTATTACACAAACTGACCTTTTTTGTTGTACCGAATATTTTTCCTTTTTAATCTTTTTAATTTTAGGCTTTTTTGAAAAAGGGTCTAGATATGTAGCCTAGGCAGGCCTCAGATTCGTGGTAATTCTTCTGCCTCAACTTTTGCCAATGCTGGGGTTATGGGTACACACCTTCATGCCTGCATCATAATGTTTGCACTTCTGAAGCTAGCACTCAGGATTTTAACTCCTTCCTATGAGTACAGGATCTTATTTTTAGTAAGGAGGCATCAGGTATGAAGGGTGCATGCAAGCCAGCGAGAGAACTCAGTGGCTAAAGTGCTTGCATCCAGGCCCAATGACCCGAGTTCAATCTCCAAGACTCATATGGTGGAAGAAGAGCACCAACTCAACTAAGTTGTCCCCTGCCCTACACATGTGTACCACGGCCTGAGCACCACCCCTCCATACAGATAAGTTCAAAAGAGAAAGATAAAAATAGACAAAAGGTGGCTTGAGGCAGAAATGGACCCATGGGGTTGGAGAACGTGGGGTGCTTATGTCATTTGATTCCGGAATCCAGGAGACCTGCACTCTTGATCCCTCCTCGAATCCCAGTAAGGATGTGGTAAGCCAGAGCCTGGGTGGGCATGTCCCCATGGGCTGTCCCTGGTGGGCGTGTCCAAAGGGTGGGTGTGCCCGCATCTCACCTTTCCCTAATGAAGTCAGCCAGCTCCTTGGTGGCCACAGGACCCTGCTTCACACAATGGTAGAGAACCTCAAAGCCATGGTTTTTGTCACCCTGTAAGGGATGAATGAGGAGATGTAGAAGGCTGCCTACCAACAGAGACAGGCCCATTGCTCTCAAAGAGAGAGACAGGCCCATTGCTACCAACAGAGAGAGACAGGCCCATTGCTCTCAACAGAGAGAGACAGGCCCATTGCTCTCAACAGAGAGAGACAGGCCCATTGCTCTCAACAGAGAGAGACAGGCCCATTGCTCTCAACAGAGAGAGACAGGCCCATTGCTCTCAACAGAGAGAGACAGGCCCATTGCTCTCAACAGAGACAGGCTCATTGTTACCAAC